CCGTTAAGAAATGGCAAACTACTGGATGTAAATTTGCCTAGAAAAACCACACAACAGCCAGGGGCTGTTGGGGTTAGTTCTGCAACGTCCTGTAAAGGATAGACAACTAACCTATACTTGAGTATGAAAGTACATGAGGCGGGAGAGCTAGCGAGAGACCAAGTTTATTTCAGCCAGACCTTGATGAGAGCGACATTATGCAAAGTACCTGTTACCTGACGATGATGACCCACACATAAACCAAGCAAGCTAGAATCATGTTTTTTTAAAATCATTCTTCCATAAGTCCCTCACTGATGGAGGACTGGAATGGCTGATAAAAAAAGTATGGCGATCTCTCTGGCAAACGTCTCACTGCAGAAAATAGCAGGATCGACTAAGTAAGTAAGTAAGTACTTACGTACATTATCCGTTTTCTGGAACAACAATTCTACTAAGTAAGTAGTAAGTAAGTAAGTAAGTAAGTAAGTAAGTAAGTAAGTAAGTAAGTAAGTAAGTAAGCAAGTAAGCAAGTAAGTAAGCAAGCAAGCAAGCAAGCAAGCAAGCAAGCAAGCAAGCAAGCAAGCAAGCAAGCAAGCAAGCAAGCAAGCAAGCAAGTAAGTAAGTAAGTAAGTAAGTAAGTAAGTAAGTAAGTAAGTAAGTAAGTAAGTAAGTAAGTAAGTAAGTAAGTAAGTAAGTAAGTAAGTAAGTAAGTAAGTAAGTAAGTAAGTAAGTAAGTAGGTATGTAAATGTTCCATTACCTGGAAAGACGACTCGCTGTCAACAGAGTACACTAGAACAAAAGCATCCCCGTTGTCGATAGCCAGCTTTCTCATGGCGGGAAAACACAACGAACCGGATGTATCTAAAATGTCCAAGGTCAGGTGCATACCATTCATGTCGTACTCGCCTCTGTGCAGCTCCTCAACTGTTTCTCTGCAGGAAAAAAAACAAGTTTGATTTGTGGTAATGTTGACCAAACACATCGTTCATAAGCTTAATCATATTGGCTGTGCACTATCCCTAAACTCAACTCAAGGTTTCGAGTAACAGCAAAATCTTCCTTAAGTCTGAACACCTCGATGAGTCAAAAAGCCATATCATGCATGGTAATCCAACAGTACAATCCCAGCCACTTCTTCAACCATGCCATGCAGCTATATTTAGTGCTAGATAGCACATTTCAACAAGGTTCAAACTTCTTGACACCCCCCCCCCCCCTCACCCTATAGAAAATCATACGGCGGAAACCCACCACTCCTTTCCACACACCAATGTTTTCTTGTTCACACCATCGAATAGTGCTATAATTGATATAATGATAATAATAATAATAACAATAGGAATAAACTCCACAGGGGAGCAAGGATCTACCAGTCATCAGTAGAAGTTATCCCTCGTCGACAAACGTTTCGGCCCACGAGCTCCTAGACGTTTTCAGAGAGTGGGCCCACCTGATTTCATGAAGCTCAGGGCTGGTTCCCTGCTGCACGAAATTACCGGATGGTGTTTTCTTTCGGATAGGGACAAGACGACTTGGTGATTTTGCAGAGGGCACTGTGAGATAAGAAGTCACCGCGGTAGCATAATTAGAGCAGTCTGCATACCTGGACGACCGAGCGACATGCTTACGATTGGTATGCCGGACACCTGTTAGACTTTTTTTAGCAGGTGGCAGAGGAACACTGGCAGACTATTCAGACACGATGGACTTTCAAGGGATGAGAAACCCTTTTCCACTAGACACCTGGACCAGCTCACCGAGGCCCGTCCCCTACGTTGTTCCGTTGCGTCCAAAGCCAGCTCGAGGCCCTCTCAGCAACCTCGCCCAGCCGTTTAAGTGTCCGTTTGCGTTCATTACCGCGCAATCCTAGTTCTTTAACCACATTGTAGAGCGAAGTGGAAACGAGGCCTCTCGCTCCCACTTCGACGGCAAAGACCCGTACTGTGTACGCCTCGTCTCTCCTCAGACCGGCTGCTAAATCACCGTATTTCTTGTACGTGTGATTTTTGTCCATACGCGACTCATACGGGACGGTCAGCTCAGTCAATAATAAAGCCAGTTAAAAGTTAATTGCTTAACCTTCACATGACGTTGCAGAACCAGCCCCATCATAGGCAAATTTATGTGCAGTTAGTTTGCCATTGCTTTCTAAACGGTCAGCTCTCAGTACAACTGTCGAAACTATCACAAGACAAACCGTTCGCATCTGGGGTTGAACCCTCCACCCCAGCATTACAAAGCTCCTTCGCAACACCTAAGCCCCAGACGCTGACAAACCTAGTACTTATTTTAATTAGCTTTTATTTTTCCTAAAAGAGTGTCAATAACTATCTATAAAAACCTACTTAATTATTTATTGTTATTTATTTTCTTAAGCGTATCAGAAAAGAGAGCTAAGTCCAACACTTACTTGTATTCACTAACAAATTGGTCGTAGAGAAATTGAGAAATGATGGCCGTCTTTCCAACTCCAGCTGCTCCCATCACAACTAGTCTGAAAAAGAAAAATAATATCATAAGAATTTTTTTTTTGTAATCGATCACCGGCTGTGAATTCCGGCGGAAGGTCCCGGTTAATCGTCCGCTTAGACTTTTGGCTTTCACCTGGACCTGAGTTTTGCGTGTACAACCGTTTTTCTGTTCCCTGCCTCATGGGCAGCTGTACTCCGACTTCGAAGGAAGACGTCAGGCCTATTTCTAGGATGACTATGGCCATTGTTTTGTGTGGGTCGAGACGTTGCCTGATTTGTGTGGTGTCCACTTTGTCTCCTTCTCCGCAGGTATTGCCCCCGGAGTACCCCTTTGGGGCAGCCCCCTGTGAACGGTTGGCCCTCAAGGAAAGGCAGGGGCAGATCATGGGCATTCCCCGCCATCCAAGGAGGCTCCCATGTATGCAGAGCCGGCACATGGCGCTCTGATTCTGGGCTCACCCAAATAAGCGTCACGTCCTGCACATGCCTGCTTAACCTCACAACCGTATCAGGCCTCCCGCTCGACAAGGGCTGAGCCCTCGGGAAGTCAGTGGGGGGCAGCTCGTGGGTTTTGGACTTTTGTGACCATACGAATAGGTACATTCTTTTTTCTTCGTAAGTTATATTTCTTTGACGAGCCGTTAGCCCGACAGAATTTTACATCCTGCGTCAGGCATATCGTTATCAGTTTGGTCCCAACACTCGGGCGAGTGGGGTCTTCGGGTGTGGACATTTGGTCTTTTTCCGTTCAATACAAGTTGTGATGGTCAGATTTTGAGCTTTTTTGTGTGTCGTAGTATCTAGTTTTGTCGGACATTTAGGCTTAGCCAGCCAAAGAGCTGTTGCTGTTGTGGTGTACCTCAGCGCGATGACGACGACACTGAGGGTGAACCGAGGATGTACATGGCTGGCCAGCCTATGTATGGTTGCTGTTTTGGTGTACCTCAGCGCGGTGACGACGACACTGAGGGTTAACCGAGGATGTACATGGATGGCCAGCCTATGGATGGTTGCTGTTGTGGTGTGCCTCAGCGCGGTGACGACGACACTGATGGTTAACAGAGGATGTACAGTGAACAATGTTCTCTTCACTCCGCAATCTTTTAACCAAGGGTTGTAATTTTGGCGTTTGGCAAGAATACTCATGTTCCTAATAAGTTTGATAACCTTTTTCACCCAAGCGTTTGGGGGCGGGCTGATGAGAGCCACATGGACACATCACCTCTAGGGGCCGCCAAACTCCGAGATCCCCTGACAGCTCTGTTAATGCTCATTTGAGACATTATCCGTGGCGCACGACGAGGACGTGCTGCAGGGGTCTTGAGTGAGGTTCCGTAATACCAGAACAGTGAAGAACTGGCGTCCGAGTGACGTACGGAGTATCTCCTTATACACATCATGTTGGAGTTAACTTTCCCTCTCGGCTGTGACATAAATCACCGCGCCATAATCACGAGAATGTAAAATATACGTTTAGCTTGAGACATTTTTATTACCAGAGAAATAAAATGATGCAAAACTATCGAAAGACAGACATGTTTATACATGGCGTAGGCATTCATGCGTCGCCACAGATCTCTGTCTCTGGTGTTCTGGATCAATTCTACTGAGGAAAATCCCTCAATGTCACTGTCTTAAGTCATCTATCAAAATTTCTCTTGGTCTGCCTCTTCTACCAGTGATCTTTTCAGTCGCTACGATATTTTCCAGTGTTCCTTTTCTCATCACATAACCAAAGACATTTGTCTCCTTCTCATTGTTGTAAATGATGTTCTACTTTCATTAGCCATTTCCAGGCAGTCAAAGTTAGTTGTTCTGACAGTCCAATGTATTCTCAACATTCTTTTCAAGAACCACATCTCAGTTGCCTCCCAAATCTTCCTAATTTGTTTGCTCACATTCCATATATATAATAATAATAATAATAATAATATATAATACAATATTCACTGTGTCTTATGCTCTCGTAGTTATCTGACAACATTTAGGATCATATTCACAAATTTTATGGTCAGGGGAGACAGGTAACACCCCCGAGTTCTGGGTATAATATATCTGCCATTGGATCTATAACACGTCTTCATATCACTCCATCAGTGGTAACATCAAAATACCGATCTGTTCTAAGCATATAAAACTAGACGATAGTGTTGGTCGAGTGGAAACGTTAGTTTCGTGATATTTTGCAGACAGGGCAAACACGTAGAAAGCTAGGTCACGATTGGTAGTTTAGACTCATCTCCTATCCCAGGGGAAAAAAGTTACTTTGGCATTTAACAAAGCAGCAGAATTAATGTTCTCTTTCACCGCGCCGATGAACTTTCATCAGCACACAAGAGTATCCTACTTTACCGCTGGCGTGTAATTTGTGTGGTTATGTGCTCTCTGGCTAACAATTTCCCGTTATTATCACGCCATGCGTTTCCGATACACAAAGGCACAGATTCTTTCATGTTTTATTTCCATGACTCTTAAAATAAGGAGCCCCGGTGGAGCAGCGGCCAGACTCACGCCTGCCGGCAAGAAGGTCTGGAGTTCAAATGTTTACTGAAGCAGAATTTATAGTTGACCTATTACTCACAGGGCTACCCAGCATAAATACTAGTATACAGACACGTTCTAGAAAGTAACGGTAGAATGCCTTATACTGACCAGATGCGAGTAATAGTAAAGTGAAGAGCATTTTTACACTCGTTTAGGCGTATTGGGCATATAGGGTTACACCTATATTTTAAAGACTAATCGGCACTTGATGGGTGAGTGGTCAGCATAATGCCGGCCGTCTTTACTTCCCAGGACTTACCTGATACCCACACTAGGCTGGGTCGACCTGGTAGTCGAGGTCTTTTTTTAAAAAAAAAGTCCCGTTCGGTCGAGACATGAACCCACGACTTTCCGATCGGTAGGCAAAGAGGCTAGCCGCTACACCACGGCGGCCTACTGGAACAGACATGCCAGAGGCTATTAAAACTGTCCAGTCTCTAGGCTCAGAGAAAGACAGGACAAAATACGTTTTGGAGATAAGGCGACTGTAATTACCTGAAATGTGATTTAGGTGCTTTTGTCGCCGGACTCACAGTCAGATGATGTTTGTTGGGGCTGGACGATGACATCTTGATTCTAGAACAAATAAATTAGATTGGTGTTAACACAGTGAGTAAAGTAAAGTACCCTTTTCCACGCCCTAAAGGCGTATTGGGTATATAGGGCTGCACCTATATTTTATAGACAGAACGGCACCTGGTGGGTTATGTGGTCAGCATGACGCCAACCGCCTTTACTTTCCAGGGCTGCATCTGGTACCCACTCAAGGCTGGGTCGACCTGGGAGCAAAGGTCTTTAAAAAAAAATGTCTGACCCCGTCAGGAACCGAATCCACGACCTTCTGATCCGCAGGCGAGCGTCTAGCTGCTAGACCACGACGGCTTCCGTTGACACAGTACTTTATTGAAAAAATCACTTGAAATAAAATGGGGACATGTTGTATTATTAATTGTTGATTTAATCATATTATTTAAGCTCACGATGACTTTGATAATACAACACTCCCTTGGTGTAAAGGTAAAGTCGGAAGATGTGAACCAGCTTCTTTGCACTCGCTTATTAACAAGTGCTCTGCCACCAGTACAGACAGGTGTTCAGAAACTGTCCGCCTATGTCGCCGTCCGCACGCAACTCCGTAACTACATTGACGTTCCTCCATTTACCCCAGATTGTGAACTCTGGTACCCATTACCTTGAGGCTGTGTGAACCCCTGGGAACCGCCCGGTTTCGAACACCGGCCCTGGGTTGCAGCGAGTCGCAGCTGGATTTGAAAGCCAGTCTCCTATTGACTGCGTTACCGCGGCCCTCTTGGTGTGTGTGTGTGTGTGTGTGTGTGTGTGTGTGTGTGTGTGTGTGTGAAAGCCGAAGACTTCAGAAATACCGTCTCGGTAACTGAGGCTTCTGCAGAAACAAGCTGTTGGTTAGGTGGTGGATTCAGTACATAGTGATTGATTGATTAGTTGGATAGTTCATTTGTTGCGAATTCTTTGAAAGACATTGAGTTTTAACTTATTAATCCATTGCACTGGCTTTTAGGTCATCTGGACATAAAAAATGTTTGCAGGTATTGGAGTGAAGTTTATGATAAGACTTTACTTCAAATCCAAAATAAACTTATAAATTATTCGAACTATTGTTGAACTCGTGAGTTGGTTGAGGGCCTATGCTCCATTGTTAGTTAAAAAGACAGAAAAAGAAAAAAAAGAATTGTAGAACTCTCCTTTCTCGTTTCAGGCTAAGAAATTTATGTGTGGATTCCGTGACTCAGTTTTAGAGGAAAATAATATACCCACTGCCTAACCCTCCCCCCCCCCACCCCCGCCCCCCACCCCACCCCTACAAACAAGCAAGTGGTAAAATTTAACTAATTTGGGAGTTTCCATTTAAAATCGGAGTGAATATACATAAGAAGCGAAGAAATAATACTGTAGTCTGCATGCAAGTTTGCAAAATCTGTAAAACACGCTAAACTCCAGCTGTAGAACAAGACTTAAGTCCAGAAGTTGCCGAACAACTAGAAATTTCCTCCAGAGTTCACAGCTGGTGAATGCTAACAAGAAGCTAAGAAAACTGCGGTCTCAGCAAAACCACCAGACTCACAACTGAGAACTTGTATACACTAGGGACGCTGGCACCATATCTCCTGTATTCACTTTCTCCTTCATTTTGACATTTTAAAAATAAATGATATATTGAGTACGATGACGTCAATCCTTCCTCATAATCAGAAATGTACTTTAAGCAAAATATAAGGACAAGAAAAAACAGAAAGGGAACGGTGGAGGTCATAAAAAATACTTAGGTTTAAAAAAAAAACTGCAAGCGTGCATTCGATTTTATTATAATAAGAACGATGTCAATTCAAGCAAAGTAAATAATAAATATATCCCCTAGAGATAGTCTGGAGAGGAAAAACCACACATACTAAAGCCACCTTAACATTTGAAGCTCAAATGAATATTTGAGATGACAGGTGTGATTTGCCATATTAAAAATTTTGT